AAGAGTAAGAGTAAAAGTTTTTTTTTTAATTTTTTCTATTATATAAATAAAGTATAACCTATCAATGCTTATAAGTAAGTTATGATTACGTTATTTTTAAAATATAAGTTATTATACGTACTTATTTTAGATTTTATTTAAATAAAGCTTTATTAAAAAAGTAANTTATATTTTATATGTATTATTCTATTATATAAAATATAAAGTATAAGTTATATTAGTATATATTATAGGTGGTATAAGCTTTAATATACACCCTACCTACTAATGTAGCTAAAGTAACTGTAATTAGTTATTAGTTATGGAAATCGAACACTAATACCCTAAGGAAATCGTCTAAAAGTTAATATTCGGAGATTCCCCACTTTCTAGTAACTAGAATGTTACTTTTTTTTGGCTTATCAAACTCTCACGTTTCTCGCGTCTTTTCGTGTCTCTTGCGGAAAGGGGTATCCATGTCTATCGGGGCAGCCATCTATGTTCTGTAGACGTAATTTATAGTGTTCCCTCGTTCTTGGTAGCAACCAGGTAGGCGTAAGATCTTAATAATATAAACAGCTATGGAATATTCCGACTATTTCACCGGCTTGGGACTTCTCGTCGACCACGGCAGTCACGCGTTAATTTGCTGCCACCAAAAATGCAAGCGCGCTATACCTGTTATCAAGGGGAAGCCAACCTTTCACTTGTCAAGTTATGGTATTCCGCTCCACGCAAGAGCTGCGCTCACTATAGTCCTCCAGACAATTGAACTCCGACGAGTATCATTTAAATAGGCAAGTTGCAGTATTCCTTCTCTCCTTCGCTGGCTCTACCCGCTGGTATATCTGCTCCGCCTAGTCCAACTTTCCTTGTTTCTCATAGTGTTAAATAGGGTGTAAAAGGTCTACGAGTACCCGTGTAAATTGCTTACCCGTAGGCTTTAAGTAAGTATAAGTAGGAAAAAAAGACTTAAATAAATTTATAAGAGAAAATAAAGTACTTATAATTATTTATTAAAAATATTAAGTGTTTTTAAGTACTTAAATAAGACTTATATAACTTACTTTATACTTTAAACTTAAGACTTATTATAAATATAATTAAATATTAAAGAG